CACAATTTCTGGAGGCAAGCTGCTCCGGTTGTCCTCTCTGTTAGGAAGTTTCTCCTTAATCCCTAGTTGCTTCTCTTCTTGATTAGTTTCCATCCATTGTTTCTTATCTTGACTTCTGGTGCTTTGGAAAATAAGTTGACCCCTTCTTCTTTGTGGTCAAATACTGGAATATTGCTATCATGTCCTTTCCTAGTCCTTCTTTTCTCTAGACTAGGAATATCCAATTCCTGCAACCGCCCTTTGTATGTTTTTGTCTCCAGGCCTTTAATCATCTTTATACTTCCCCCAAAAAATCTCTACCACATTTTTGTAATGTGGTGACCAACACTGGATGCAGTATTCCAGGTGTGGTCTTACTCTGGATTTATAAAGCGGTGGTAACACCTCATGTGATTTTGATTCTATTATCTCTGTTTATACAACACAGATTGTATTACTTTTTTGGCTGCTGCTGCACACTCCTGGCTCATGTAATCATCCACTAGGAGTCCGAGATCCCTATATCTCAGTGGTGGGTTCAGGATCCCGTTGCAACCCGTATGGTTGCAATGGGGCCTGGCGCCCTCCACATGAACGTACACACGCGCGCAGGGCATGCATGTGTCTTACCATACAGCAGCGCCTCCGTGACACCCCAAATGCTTGGCGGAGCATCGCACAGGTGCTGTACGTGCCCTGCATGTGCACGGAAGCACCGAAGAGTTTAAAGACAGGTAAGGAGCATGGGCAGGCAGGTGGGCCCTCCGGAGCATCATACCAGAACGGGAGCCGGTGCTCTGGGCAGGCTCCGGTACGCCCGTACCGCCTGCAACCCACCACTGCTATATCTGTATGTAATGCTCTTATCAATATTCCTGCAGGAAATGTGCTGAGCACTAGTGAAAGAACAAATGCCCTCATTAAAAATTCTTTGAGAAATTAAGCAATTCTCTATGTTAAAAGGAGGATAATTGAAGCTATAAATATAAAAAGAAAAGGAATGAAACCCAAAGGTGTCAGGAGGACCTTGTTAATCGTGGTCATGAAACTAGCTGCTGTTTATCAGCACTAGACACCTCAGCGTCAGCCAGTGCCAAGAAATGCTGAGTAAATGGTGCAAATGCCATTGCTGTGCCGAATCCAGATGTGTCATGTAGAGAGGGTCATATAGGTTTTCACAGGGCTCCATCAACAGTCCTGCAAATGTCGCATTGGCCTTGATGACCTGTGTTTTATATGCATTTTACACTGTATAGCTGTTAGAAGGAGACGAGAGCACCACGAAGCAGACAGAAGCACTGCTGAGTTTCAGATGACAGCGGCATGTCCCAATAAGAGATTTTAAGCTTTAGAATGAAACTCTACCCTATCGAATTTGCTTTAGATCTTTTAGCAATGCTTCCTCAAAAGCCTTGTAAAATAGTAGTGTCTGGTAGTAATTATCAAACACCGTACACACTGTTTACAGTAGAGTTGTAATATTAAAAAAAAAGTTTTTGCACAGAGAAGTCAAATACGTCTGAAAAGTACCCAAATGTCTGCTGTATTCTATGCCAACAGGACAATTCAGCCAAAAATGCAGAAAGAGAAGATTGCCAAATAAAAGAAAATATAACAAATTGGTAATGGCTTCTATCTTGACAGAAAATGAAAATTATACCTCAATGTGTGGCCACTCATGTGGACACAAAAGAATGTCTTACAGGCAATCATTTTATTTCAGATAACATACCCTGACAGTTGTGCAAGGCCTGCTAGCTTGATTTCACTTTCCATAAAAGCAGCAACCATACCCTACAAAATGGTTTACAATCATATAATTTATGCATATCTCTCTCTCTCTCCTGCACACACACACACACACACACATTCAGTAAATCATCACAAAGCACATTGCTGCAGTTTTTGAGGAGTGGGTTGGAAGTCTACACTAAAAATTCCTTCAAAGTTGCCACAATTGGATCCAGCCACTCAACCTAGTTAAGGGCACTGAAGAAGGGGAAAAACAATTTGAATCCAAAAATATTTTTTTCTTCCCAAACCAATCTCTCAACCAAAAAATTCTTCATGCTTGTTATAGTTTTTAGGTTAGTGAAATTCCAAAAGACACAAACCTGAAGCAACTTAATCTAGAATATATAAAATATACTCTAACAGTATACTTTTATTTGTGTGCATGCTCTCAGCAGTAAGCTAACTCTGATTCAGCCCTAGGACCGTGATGGTGAACCTATGGCACGCTATATTTGCTGGCACGCCAGTCATCAGCTCCAATTTTTTGCTCTTTCAGAGGGACGAGAGAAGCTGTTTTCGCCCTCCCCAGGTTTCAGGAAAGCCTCTGGAGTCTGGGGAGGGGTTGTGCGCATATGTGTGAGGGGGTGGTGGTGTTGCACTTGCATGCTCAGGTGGGTGAGGAGGATTGAATTGGTGTGGGTATGCACACACACGCGATAGCACACAGGCGCACAATTTTGGCACGGCATAAGAAAAAGGTTGGCCCTCACTGCTCTAGGATCAATATATTGCTAAATGAATGGGCCCATGGTAAGAATCCTTGCTTTGTCTGTTTTCTTCTTTCTCTGGTGCACTGGCTCAGAAATCAGCAATGGTTGTGAAACAAACAAACAAACAAAGTCAGAAAGAGAATTGACTATATGGGTGGTGCATGAATGTGTGTGTGAGGGGAGATTTTTTTAAAAAAAGAAACTAAGAGTATAAAAAGCAATGATCTCACCCACGGGTGGGAAACACTCCCGACTCCCAAAATATTTCCTACTAGCTGATAACCAGGCGAAGCCCAGGTGTATATTTATCCCTATCCTGTATTAGAGGGAGTTTAA